ACTTAGTATTTGCTTATGTATTCATTCATGTATTTAAGTTTCCAATCAATACAATTATAGTATGAATAATAAACCTTTATCATGGTTAAGAAAATATAATAATAACCACTTTATTATTGCCTCTAGGGCAAATTTCCAACTGTGTTGTCTTATTTGCACGTGGCATCGTCGGTGTTAGATTTGGAGATGTTGGTTGTCTAGTTGTTGCTTGGGCTGCTTCCCTGGTTCGCGAGTTTAGTTGTGTTTTTTCTTTATTTGGGTCGAGCATCTCTTGTCTCTCTGCTTCAGCAACTATGTCCATGCCTCTTGCGTTCGTGCCATGGGTTGTACCACCCCCTGTACTCACTCTAACTTCTTCTATCAATGAAGTGATACACAAGCTTTGCGTATTCATGAAAAAAGCTTTCATTGCAGGAAGTGCAACAAAGGTGAAGAAGAAAAGGAGTGGAAACTACAAACAAACAAGTTGAAGATTTGCATCAACACATCAAAACTGTCGGTTCACACATTATTCATATTCGTCAACTATCTCACTGATGCCCATGATATGGAATTCATCCTCAGATATGATTAGTTACCCTCCATGTTATTATTTTGATCCACATATGCAATATAATTTCTTACGCCGTGAGAGGGTATTACCACATCCCTATACATTCGATTAGCTGCACTTTTATTGCTAATCCAATACATTATTATCGTCCTAAGTGTAAATATGGTCAAATATACTTATTGCCATTAGCACATAAAAATGGCCAATGGAGTGTTAACATCGTCCTTGGAACAAACTCGACGCAAGTAATTTTTTGGCACACGAGCTTTGCCAAACAAATTGGGGCATATGTTGATACCGGATTTTATCATGATAGAAAACGTAAAATAAGATGGCCTCAAATTAATTAGTGTCCACTATGAAAACCCTTGTGCCAACAAAACTAACAAATTTAATGTTTGGGTCATCTCAATCTGAGTTCATCTCGAGGGCCAAAATAGTGCTCGTGGTGCTGAAAGTTGTTGCTCGGTTAATTACACACCGAAGATCACATCAGATGGAAAAGCTTCTTCTTGTTTAGGAAAACGGTTTTGATATTTGGATCCTCTCAATCCAAGATCGCATGCAAAAGTTACAACCAAGATAATGCGGCCCGACCACATGTAAAAAAGTGACGTCCGGCATGAGACATCATGTATACCCATGTCTGATACATGGCTCCAGCCATCACTTTTTTGGCGGGAGTGATTCGATTCTTAAGATGACCTCCGATCAAAAAGCGTTCAACATGAAATTTCTTATTTTGCTTTTTGGATCATTTTAATCCGAATTCGTTTGTGGCATGTGGATCTCGAAAACCGAACTACTGTCTTAGGCTCACGTATAATCCGAGTTCGGTTTATTTGAATTTGGGGTCCTTCTCTTGTACGGAAGTCTAGCGGTCTCATAAATAGGTAAGAAATGATGGTTGATTGGACAACACGCAATCGATCAATCAATCTATCATCTTTTATCTTTGATCTCTTCTCATTTACCCTAGTTTTCTTCTTCCTCATTATTCGTTGTTCTACTTGTTGCAAGGCAACGATCCACGAGGCCTGGGGGCGACTATGTCGACTTATGGCAGACCATAGCCGTTGCGCGGCCCGACGGGTCTCTCCCGGACGTGATGGGGTTTCGGGTCCTCAAAAACCTCGCCGGCTTGGCTAGCGCACCGCGCTCTCGACGAGGCTCCTACTCCGACATGTCCCGCGTATCACGCTCGACGTCGGGGGCTCACGGTGTTGTATTTGTGTGTGAACAACACGTACCATAGATTTTTTATTTTTTTTTGAAAAGGAGAATGACCTCCGACCTCTGTATCTGGGAGATGCATGCAACCACAATCATAGATAGGCCCAACCGTAGGTGGACGGGCTAGGGCTAGGGCTAGAGTACATTATCCCGGAAAAAAAAGGAGGGGGCAGAGTACATTGAAATCGTCGCCTCCTTCTCCACCACTCCAAACATTTTCGTCTTGCTCTATTTATTTTGCGCTTTTAGTTTAGGGGGTTCCTTCTTTACCCTTTCTCTTTCGAGAAAATTCATTAGCTTGGACGTTGTTGGAGGGTCACCACCCGTGCCCCGTTGGTGGTCAGGAGAAGCAAATGAACCCCGGCCGGCCCGGCCGGCCCGGCCGGCCTGTTTGAAACTTGTTTGGTAATAAATGAATGAGCTGCGAGATACCGTAAATCGGGAACCGGCCGAGG